TTAACATCAGAATCACTGATTATTCGACCTCAAAATACAATACATATATCATCATTGAATAATGAAGATGTTACAATACCGAGAAATGTTACTATTGAAAGACATCCAATTACACATTCATTTGGTTTTTCGATTAAAGGTGGTTGTGATACTGGTAAATGAATCATATTAGAACAAAATAAAAAAAAACTCTTTCATCTTTTTTCTGATAAAAAAAAAAAAAACGTCTTTCTTCATAGGTTTTCCTGTTCTTATTTCACGTGTTGCTGATGCCAATGTTCATTTATTAAATATTGGTGATGTTATTTTAAATATTAATAATGAAGATATATCTAATTTAACTCATGATCAAGTTTTTACAAAATTACGAAATATATCAGATGATCAAGTTAATTTAACAATTAAATATATGAATAACATGGCTACATATTTATTTTTAACATCATCAAAACCTAAAATATCAGTATCAAGAACTCAGAATAGTTTAAAAATACGACATTTATCTGCAACTAAAATTAGACAAAATCAAAAATGTAGATCAAAACAATATTCATCTGAATATCATGGTTATTTGCCATTGACATTATCACATCAACAAAAAGTAACAAAAATTCAATTGATATTTCAATATTAGGAAAACTCACTAATTAAAAGTCTAAATATAATCAATAATTCGTATGAGAATAGAAAAAAAAATCACAAAATCAATTGCTGGCTTCGCGAAATGTGCACTACTTGAGATAAAGAACACATGTTTAATAGTAAGAAATGTACATATTCAATATGAGATACATCTAAAGGTACCGAGTAGAACCTACTGAAAATTATAAGAATAAGAATTTGCTAGTTTTATCTATTTTTTCTTTTTTTGGTTCCTAAATAGTTGTATGATTACTCGCAGCTCAATGAATCGTAAGAGTCGAATCAACCAACTAGTAATCAGTTTTTTTTATATGAGTGGAATTTAATGATCAACTTCTTTTGTTATAAACTCGTCTAATGACCGATTCGTACTGTGAAAGCTGGCTTATTGATTACTTCGTTTATTCTGTCTAATTATCTACATGAGTTGAATTGAAACTATCATATATATATGGGCGTGCTCAACGATAGGATACCCCAATTTCGATACACTCTTATTGTACGGATAAAACATACTATTGTTCGGGTCATATAAGAGAGGATCCTAGATAACCCTGGATTGGCCCGAACAACATCATGTTTTA